ATCTGTAAAATATTTAAATTAAACTTGTTTTACAGGTTATAAAGAAGATGTCAGGCAATTTTGACAATTTTTCATTATTCTATGCACCATATCAAAAATTTCCGAATATTCACTGTATGTTGTGCATGTAATCATATGACCTATCTCATACATTTTTGGGTACAGATACCCAAAAATAAAAGTCTTTTAAATAATAACTCTGCATTTAATACATATAATATATCATTTTAAAGTTGAGATTTTTTTAATTCGCATAGGGCTCAATTTTGATTTTTTTGTCAGGAATTATTCAAGTATTAATGACATACCAACCAACTTAAATACCCGTATCTCAATCTGTAATTCATCAATCGTTCATCGGCTTCTCTGGTCAGGTAGTAATACAAAATTTAAGCATGTTATTTATCAAAATTAAAGTTTTCGTTAAAATCTTTTTCAGCTATTCCTATAAAAATGAAGCAAACATTCAATCACTTATAAATTTCGTTTTTTTGGCCCGGTTGAGACTTAATCTCTTGGCGTTAGAAAATTCTCATCTATGGTGCAAACGCCTTAGTCACATCCAATAATTTTCAGTAATTTTAAAGTGTAAAGTAATTTTATCCAATCATATAAAAATAGTATTTTAATAGCTCTTGATATGATCTATAATGTAACGTATTCGTTTTATTATTAAAGTTTTTTACAGTTTGAATGTTAATTTTAGCGGGATTTTCAGCGCCAAAAGTAGACGTTGACGTCTACTGTGAAACAATCATTTGCCAATGGCCACATTTTGAATAATCTTATGTCTTCGAATTCTTCTAAAATGGTTTCAGGAACTCAAGTTGTAAGCACTTCTGTAACGTGCAGAATCAGGAACTTGACGATGAGATTGATACCGCTTAACTACAAAGACCGCCAAAGTCCCAAGTTCGTACTATGATCACGTGTTAGAATTTTGGCCAATGAAATTCAATTTTAACATGGTAATGATTAGCACAAATTTCAGCGGTGGCTTAGCTATTTGATGTGACTAAGCCGTTTGCACCATATTAATTCCTGCGCAAATTGATATGTTATATACATATAATTAATATAAACACGCTCAAAAAATAATTGGATATGTATAAAATGTATATATACATGTAATTTGTCCTGGTTTGTTGGCCGATTGGTGCTTGATCAAAATGTAATGGAAAAATTTTAAAACAAATCTTACGATTTGATTGGTTTACCGTTAAATCACACGATCTGCCATTTCCGAAGGAGCAAAACGTTTCTTTGGTCAAAAATAACAAATGTGCCCTCGGGAAGAGTAAATGATTCACCGAATTGTTCTCGGTGAATATCATTATTTTGGACCAAGAACCATCTGTTCCTCCGAGAACCATGTGTTCTGTCCAAGAACAACTTGTTCCCGGGATTCCGAAGACGAATCCTAGCGTCATGTGCTAATAATAATAATAATATCGTGAAAATAAGCAATCCACGTGATGTTGCCTTTTTAATAATAAAATTTAATTTATGAGTAAGAATCAAAAGCATCTAAAAAAAAGCGAGACCGAGTGATCGACCCGATGGCAATATTAATGACATACTAATTGCAAATAAAGACTAGGTAGATTTAGAAATACCCTCACGCACTGTAATAGGTCAAAGTAATTTTTTATTTGGATTCTTGCTAGCATTAAGATTAGAATAAAATTTTTCTGATTTAATTTATTTAGTTTTATGGTTTACATATATCACCTATCTCTATGACAATACCAACATCGAATAGCGTCGCCACCCACAAATTATTTGATATTATAACTCATGGCAGCAAAAATTTCCCATGCCCATATTTGCTTTGAGATCAGCAGGGAAAGGATCATTTTTTATAGATAACGGTTGAAATTCAAATGTTTCCCGAAAGAGAACATAACGCGAATGAGAAAGAATAATCTACTATTAACGAGTCATCTCTTTATATCTTATCCATGAATATAGACTCGATCCGAATAGTGCAAGAAGAATACCAGCTCCATTCTAACATCATTGATTAATTATTTAATTAATATAAAAGTTATATTGACTGATAAAAAAAAAATTCAAAAAGCAATCATTACCATAGCTGAAATCGGATTCTGGAAATACCAAGCGGCAAGCGCCGTTTGGAAACAACTTTTTGCCGTACCCGAAATCGTGTTTGTCAATGGGGTCGTGAATTTAATCTGCAAAAACATCGCAATATTAATCACGAATCCCGTGATTCCCGTGAATATCATCAACATCCAGAACCCAGTTTCGTCAATAAAGTACGCGTCCATGTATATTTTTTCCGGTTCTCCGGAAAATAATACCATCGGTAGAAGTAAAATTATCGAAAGTGTGGTATTATAATGAAGAAGACGCCTATTTCAACAATAAAAATGAAATTCATATCTTCATCATCCAGCTATTAAAAGAGGTGATTTGAAATCTTGTAGTTACCATTCATTTTTTTCTAGCACCATCAATGTCTTCTTCACGTATATTCCATATAACGCTACAAAAGCACTCGACGTGACACCATAAATGATTCCTTGCCATGAAAAGTTAATTTCTCCGTATGATCCGATCGCAAAACCAAAGAATACTATGATACAAGCAAATAAGGCGGGTATAGTAGTTTTGGCCCCGAGTAGAGTATAGGTGAATATGATATTAAATATTATAGATAAAGATCGAGCGACCTAACATGAGAAAATTAAGAATTAATTAGCATTCATTAGGGTATGATAATCATTCATTCATTGATTAATTGATAATTATACCTGATAGAAAGTAACTTCAACGTATTGCAGACATAAATTATTGAATGCTAGCATCATAACATATGTAAGCGTCAAGGGAGCGACCTTACGCGCGATGCTCAAATCAAACTCGTAAGGTGGTATAAGGGAAAATAACTTATATCTGCTCAGAGTATAGAGAGTGTTATTCATCCAGCTAGGACCCTTATTTAATAATGTGTATATTAAGGTAATCTTATGGAACTATACCTTCTTCCCAACGAGCCCCAGACCAACAAAATCACCAAAGCGACGACCATTTGAAACCAAGTGACAAATAAAGGATATGGAAATTTATATTCTGAACTACTCAAAATATATTTATTCAGAAATACAACCGATATAGAAATGAACCAGTAAAATGCAACTACTAATAATATAATGGCGGGTGGGTGTTGCTTTTGGCGTTTAACATATGCGGATGTAGCAGGTGGGGGGAGAAACGGTTTCTCATCGGCTTTCTCTTCTGGTGAACCCATTGTATTAATATATTGGCTTCTTTAGGTGTTATTTTATTAATGAAGGAATACAAGTTTGGGACAGAAATAATCTAGTTTTGTCGTCCAGCGATCTATCTACTTGTTAAATAAGTTTTTACTTGTCTTTTGGGAGTGGGTGGGTGGGAAGATCCTTATACAAATGGCATTTGGGGAAATCTTTGCTGCTTTTGATGCCCGATTTTTTGAAGTCACGTTAATATGTGTAATATATGACAAAATTTTTTGTCGTGTCTGTTAGTCATCATTTGTATAGAAATTCTAATTATTTTTTTTTTTTTTGGAAATGCTTTTGATCACAAAAAGCTCTATATCAAGAACAGCTTCTAATATTAATAATATCAATATTAGCTGTCAATTATGTAAATACGAAAAACTTCCTTTACGTCGACTTTTTCTTTACACTCGACAAGATGAAAATCAAAAACGCGTATTACTCAGCAATTATCACGCGTTAAATGGACTTTTAAGAAGCGGCACCACCATAAAAAACAAATTTGCAACATCACATCTGATTAACCGTGATAGCATGAATCGGAAAACTTTATACACGAATAATCTCGGACGGATATATGAAAATATGCCACAACATCGACCAAAAACCGAGATGGGACTTCAACCTGTAATTAGGCTCGAAGGTCGTACGGCAAACGAAATTTGGGATGATTATTCAAAATTGACCGTTGAACAGATAAGAACATTACAGGTCGAACCGGATTTCAATATTATGCTTTCGATATTTAAGAGAGAACTCATCAAACCCGGCGTCGGCTTGATGATGAAACATATATTCAATGATATTATGGAAAAGGCAGGTCAAAAACCGAGCATGAATTGTTTCAATATCATGTTATCCGCGTACAAGGAGCTCAAAGATCTGGTAGGATGCAAAGCTTGCTATCAGAAAATGCAAGAATTTGAAGTGCCAGTAAACAGGGTCACGTACAATGTTATGATAGCGGCGCATGTGAAACTTGGAGATCCCATGGATGGAATTAAATTATATGAAGAGATGGTCAAGCGAAATATCAGACGTGAAAAAACCACATACATGATAATGATCGATGCGTATCTGAGAGCAAGGGATAGGTTGGATGAGAACGTTTGCATGGAAAAAGCCATGGAAATATTTCGATCAATCGAACGTGACAGATTAACATATGATGATCGCACATTTAATGCTATTATGAATTTTCGAGTAAAGATGAACCTGAACGATAAGAACATGGATGAAGTGGCAGACTTGTTTCGAGAGATGAAAAAACGAAGGATCCAACCAACCACCGTCACTTATTCTATATTAATAAATGCATTGGTACAAGCCAAAAGAAAGGATGAAGCCGTTGAACTATATAAAGAGATGCAACGATACAATATACCTGATAATGTGCAAATCCTTAAATCACTTGATATCTCAAAACTAGAAGCGTTAAAAATGATGAGACAAAAATCTTCCTTCACAGAAAGAGATTATAATGAACTAATCGCGAACGCAATCAAAGAATCAGATTGGATTCACGCATTCGAGGTCTTTAAAACGATGCGCCAAAAAGGAGTTGAACCAACAATCACCACTTATACCATCTTCATCGAAGCATACATTAAGAACTCAGAAATCGATCTAGCGATGGACATTTTTAAAGGGATGAAGCATGAAGGAATCCAACCGGATATCTACATTTTCACCTCTTTAATAAAAGGAAACCTGAAAGTATCCAGATTCGGGGAAGCGTTGGAACTGATCAGTCTAATGGAGAAGGATGGCGTCAAAGGAAACACTGTCACCATGAATACTCTAATAAAAGCTGCTGCTGATTTCAAAGAATATAATTTAGCGGAAGGAGTATACAAAAGAATGCAAAGAAATCAAATCTCACCAGATCGTGCGACCTATAAGATTTTATTATGGCTTGCAGCACAATATCGTGATGATGAAACATTGGAAGAATTGTTGAAGGAGATGCGGGAAAAGTATAAACTTGAAGAGAATGACGAAATTTATCAATCGATAATTACCGGATTCAGTAAAGCGGGAAAAGTTTATGATGCTATGAGATGGTATTATGACATGAAAAACAAAGGATTCCAACCATCACGTGTCATCATTTCTCATCTGATCGAGATATTCTCAAAGAGACGTGATAATCCAACGACGATTCGATTATGGAATGAAATGTTGGAATTGAAACATAAACCGGATGGACTTGACGTTCGAAACGTAATGGAAGTCGCTGATGGAATAGCTGCCAAACAGATTGCCAAGCAATTAGAAGCACTTGGTCGTGGGGAACAAGTTGAAAGATTGCAAGTTGTTGGCGATGGTGATGATCCTCAAACTTTTCTACGACAACTCAAGAAATCTTCAGACTTTAAATTAAACAGGGATACCGGGAGTCGTCAATTTGACAATCAACTAAATTATAATATGAACACTATGAATAATAATAATCTGAATCATAACAGGTACAATGATCCTCAAAGAGACTCGTATTAATTCAGGGTTGGCCCTTGGACAGTTTGGACAAAAATTTATTAGTAATTTAATTATGTAGATATTTGGACAACATTTTTGGACTGGTCCAGGGGCCAACCTTGTATTAATTGTTAGAAAATCCTGTTGAAAGCGACCGACCTTTCAACTAAAAAAGTTTTTTTGCTCATAAATAATTTTTGAACTTCACCCAATTTATTAAATTAAACAAACTTTTCACGAATCATGCATAACATATTAATGAATCTATGAATTATTTAAATGATAATCATGCTAATTATGCTAATTTATTAATACATAAATATATATAAAAATACATGGTTTGTATGCGCTCAAATAAAAATAGGGGTGTTTGCGAATGTATGAATGAAATTAAATGCGTGTACTTAATAATACATAGTCACTTTTAACTCGCAATGTACAATAAAGAAACCAATTCGGCCCTGCCGGTTGTATGGTAAAAAAATGAACAAAACTCTTGATCCAGTAAAAAGGTCCCCTCCAAACACCAAAATATAACTTCTCTCAAACATCATCGGCATTTTCAAATGTTTTCTTGTTTAGTCGGCTTCCAATCGTATCTCTCAATTTATGTAATCCAAACTGAACCACATAGGCAAGAATGAAAAATATAAATAGACCGACATACCAAACTGCCGCAATTGGTCCGTTATCCCAAGATAAAAACGGGTATACCCAGTAATGATATCTAATTATTCAAATAAAAATCAATTTTAGTACCCAAATTATCGAATAAAAATAATAAATGATACTAACATTGCGTGTACAATCCACGTCAAAAACATGTACAAACACTGTAATCCAATCGTGATCAATAAAATCGGCCATACAAATATTTGACGATTCATACTCATTTCTATGAACATCATTATCACGCTTATACCGTGCTCTGATATTTCTAGCCACCATAATAAAGGGGGGTTATGTCCATTTATTAAATCGTCGGATAAAAATGGCCAGTATACTAATGGAAGTATTAACCTTTTGCTCTATTAGTTAAGAGACTTATTATACTGCGATTATTTAAATGAAGTTACTTACTGGTAATGACATATTGTATGATATAATATCCAAAACAAATTATTCAAGTATGTCGGTAATCTTACTTCACCATTATCCAAATATCTTTTCGAGTAGAAAGCAGCTAACTAGAGATAAAGAGAGCAACACGTGAATTATTTATCGATATCTTTTTTTCTTTCAAACGAAAAAAAGCAAACTCACTATGAAATAAGCTACTAATCCTATATAACACCAATTCGAGAAGTAATGAAAGAAATATACGTTAGGTTCGTCTCTAAACAACAAACATAACACGACAACACTATAAATTGTAAATAATGCTCGAAGTCCGAATAGTGTTGTAGGTTTGATAAACCATGATGTGACAGATAATTCTACATCAAATTTATCAAATTTAAAGAAACGAGAGATTGGTCCCATATGTGAGAGTAGTTCATGAATCGATTGACGAGTAAAAAACAAAGTTCTCTCACGTATTCGCTATAATTCAACATACGAATTAAATTCTATATTACTTTTATTACATTATTTGTTCTCAATCATTATAATACACAAAACATAATAATATCAGCTGTTCGTAATATCAGCTGTTCGTAATATCAATATCAAATTGATTTAGTGATTACAATATGTTTTCACTAGATGTTTTTATTCAAAAGAGGATAACTCTTCTTTTAATCAAAAGTATTGGACTTGACCTTTGGTTGATAGATATAGATATATATATATATATAAAATATCTAATAGTTGGTAATAATGAAAAAAATGGGGAAGAAAAAGAAAATATAAACTCTCGAGATTTTCTTTTATTATCTCCTAATTGAGGCTTAAGAATAGGGCAATCACACATGATGAATTAACTTTCCGTAAGACAGGAATACTTTTTACAGTATATCCTTTTCTAGTGAATCATACAACCAACACTAACCTATGATGATATAACACCATAGTGAAGTATTCACTATATGATGGCTTTGCTGTTTTACTATAGAAGGCGAAGTCATTCTTATTACATTATTGACTCACCCAAGCCCAAAGCCTGTATTGAGAGACGATGATTGTGTCTGTGCATGTGTAATAGTATTTATTCTTTTAACAATATCGATATACCAACTCTTGGAAGGCTTTGCTAAATATATCTATTTATTTGTATCAATTTTAGATCATATGCTGAAGTTAAAAGCATACATGCATGACGTATTAATAGTAAAATTCTTGTATGCAAAAAAAAATAAGATCATTATTCAGTTTCTCGCGTTCAGAGAATACTGCGTTTATTTCCGGTGCACAATATGAGGCGGCGCTTCAAAATAACTTAATTTTTTTTGTTTATAGCGAGTGTATTTATTCATTACTAGTGAGTGAGAATATGCGTGTGTGCCTGTGTATTTTATCTAACTTTTGGACCGATACAAGAAACGAACAAGATAAT